TTTGCGTGTCTCGCGGGCTCCACGGTGGCTAGGAGATTTGACTACCTCGCCTGGTGTGCAGGAGGTCCGTGGGTTCGATCCCAACCCCGACGCCTACTGCTGTATATTTGGAGTTTGCGTCTTTCTCTCATCATCATCACGGTGGCTAGGAGATGTTAACTCCCTCCCTTGGTGTGCAGGAGGTCCGTGGGTTCGATCCCGACCCCGACGCCGCCTGCTACTGCTGCTGCTGTACATTTGGTGTCTGCGTCTCTCCCCGTCGCCGCGCGAGTTTCTGTCCCTTCCAACATCTCGAAGCAACATCACCACGCGTTCAGGGCGTTTGTTCTCCTGCTAGAAATTCCCACGTGGCGGTGATGATGATCCGCGCGTCCGATTAGCGCGGGTGCTTACGTACGATGCGAAATAAGTTCAACGCGCACGTGCACGCGCACGTGCAGACATACGTCTCGTCAAGCTGTCAATCGTGGCCAGGTCGCTGCTGAATTAAAGCAGCTACGGAGCTCACTGGGACCTTACCTGGTGAAAGAACACCAAAGGGTTTAGTTTTAGTTGATTAAATAACAATAATAATAATAGGCGACGTTTCGGGCAATGCCCTTCCCCCTTACCTACCCTTTCCCAGCACACGGAGAGTATCTTATCTGCCTCTCCGTATTTGTTAATCTGCGCCTACCGCATTGAACAGCGCGGTGATTAAATGACTCCTCACTACCCACCTCCCTCAACGCCCATCCTGTGACCCAGACAGCGTGGATAAGTCCTCATCCAGCAGTGGATTTGTTGTCCACGTTCCTATGACGGGGGTGTGGCAAGAGGGGGGGGGTGTATTTATATATTTACGTATTTACGTTGTTGATAAGTCAGCGTCGTTCAGTATTCGTAACAGCACGAACCAGCCACTGCTTCTGCCGCCGTGCGGTTTGCTGCTGTGTGTGATGCATGTACGTGTGTTGTGTGTTGTGTGTACGTGTGTTGTGTGTACGTGTGTTGTGTGTACGTGTGTTGTGTGTACGTGTTTACGTGTGTTGTGTGTACGTGTGTTGTGTGTACGTGTGTTGTGTGTACGTGTGTTGTGTGTTGTGTGTACGTGTATTGTGTGTACGTGTGTTGTGTGTACGTGTGTTGTGTGTTGTGTGTAAGTGTGTTGTGTGTACGCGTGTTGTGTGTACGTGTGTTGTGTGTACGCGTGTTGTGTGTTGTGTGAACGTGTGTTGTGTGTACGTGTGTTGTGTGTACGTGTGTTGTGTGTTGTGTGTACGTGTGTTGTGTGTACGTGTGTTGTGTGTACGTGTGTTGTGTATACGTGTGTTGTGTGAACGTGTGTTGTGTGTACGTGTGTTGTGTGTACGTGTGTTGTGTGTACGTGTGTTGTGTGTACGTGTTTACGTGTGTTGTGTGTACGTGTGTTGTGTGTACGTGTGTTGTGTGTACGTGTGTTGTGTGTACGTGTGTTGTGTGTACGTGTATTGTGTGTACGTGTGTTGTGTGTACGTGTGTTGTGTGTTGTGTGTACGTGTGTTGTGTGTACGCGTGTTGTGTGTACGTGTGTTGTGTGTACGCGTGTTGTGTGTTGTTGTTAGCGTGTGTTGTGTGTACGTGTGTTGTGTGTACGTGTGTTGTGTGTTGTGTGTACGTGTGTTGTGTGTAGGTGTGTTGTGTGTACGTGTGTTGTGTGTACGTGTGTTGTGTATACGTTTGTTGTGTGAACGTGTGTTGTGTATACGTGTGTTGTGTGTACGTGTGTTGTGTGTACGTGTGTTGTGTGTACGTGTGTTGTGTGTTGTGTGTACGTGTGTACGTGTGTTGTGTGTACGTGTGTTGTGTGTACGTGTGTTGTGTGTACGTGTGTTGTGTGTACGTGTGTTGTGTGAACGTGTGTTGTGTGAGCGTGTGTTGTGTGTACGTGTGTTGTGTGTTGTGTGTACGTGTGTTGTGTGTACGTGTGTTGTGTGTACGTGTGTTGTGTGTACGTGTGTTGTGTATTGTGTGTACGTGTGTACGCGTGTTGTGTGTACGTGTGTTGTGTGTACGCGTGTTGTGTGTTGTGTGAACGTGTGTTGTGTGTACGTGTGTTGTGTGTACGTGTGTTGTGTGTTGTGTGTACGTGTGTTGTGTGTAGGTGTGTTGTGTGTACGTGTGTTGTGTGTACGTGTGTTGTGTATACGTTTGTTGTGTGAACGTGTGTTGTGTATACGTGTGTTGTGTGTACGTGTGTTGTGTGTACGTGTGTTGTGTGTACGTGTGTTGTGTGTTGTGTGTACGTGTGTACGTGTGTTGTGTGTACGTGTGTTGTGTGTACGTGTGTTGTGTGTACGTGTGTTGTGTGTACGTGTGTTGTGTGAACGTGTGTTGTGTGAGCGTGTGTTGTGTGTACGTGTGTTGTGTGTTGTGTGTACGTGTGTTGTGTGTACGTGTGTTGTGTGTACGTGTGTTGTGTGTACGTGTGTTGTGTATTGTGTGTACGTGTGTAGGTGTGTTGTGTGTACGTGTGGTGTGTGTACGCGTGCTGTGTGTGTAGTGTAAGTTGAACTTATTTCGCACCGTACGTAACCAACCGTGGCTAATCGGAGATGCGGTGGAGGGGACGGACAACAAACGAACACACAGCAAGCAAGTTCTCAATAGAAGAGTTCTCACTCTCCTGCTAACCCAGTCCCTCGCTCAGCCAGTCACTCGCGCACCCAGTCACTCGCTCATCCAGTCACTCGCTCACCCAGTCACCAAGTCACGCGCTCACCCAGTCACTCGCTCACCCAGTCACTCGCTCACCCAGTCACCAAGTCACTCGCTCACCAAGTCACTCGTTCACCAAGTCAAGCGCTCACTCGCCCACTCAGTCACTCGCTCACCCAGTCACTCGCTCACCCAGTCACTCGCTCAACAACTCACTCGCTCACCAAGTCACGCGCTCACTCGCCCACTCAGTCACTCGCTCACCCAGTCCCTCGCTCACCAAGTCACGCGCTCACCCAGACACTCGCTCACCCAGTCACTCGCTCACCAAGTCACTCGCTCACCAAGTCACTCGCTCACCAAGTCACTCGCTCACCAAGTCACTCGCTCACTCGCTCACCCAGTCACTCGCTCACCAAGTCACTCGCCCACTCAGTCACTCGCTCACCGTCGAACAAAGGCGGTGGTCACCACAACGCACGGCGCCTTCAGATGCGCTTCTGAGGCTGCCTGGAGCGCTCTTCCTTCAGCCAGTGGAGCTAAAAGAAATGAGTTTGTCAATCTCGATGATGATTTGGTGTGACACGTCGGCTTTCGCGATGATGATGATGATGGTGATGTAAAAGTGCATCGCAGCTCCCCCAGTGGCTTCCTGATACCGCAAGGAAGAGACGTTCCAGACGGCCGCAGGAAGCAGCGCATCCGAAAGCGCCGCGCGACGATGATGACGACGATGACGACGATGATGATGACGATGACGACGATGATGATGACGATGACGACGACGATGATGACGACGATGATGACGGCGACGAGGACGGCAATGACGATGATGATGACGATGATGATGACGACGATGATGATGACGACGACGATGATGACGATGATGATGACGACGATGATGACGATGATGACGACGACGATGATGACGATGATAACGATGATGATGACGACGACGAAGATAACGACGATGATGACGACGTTGCGGTGACCACCACCGCCTTCGTTCGACGGCTTAGCAGCCAGAAGCTGCCGCCGCTACCGCTGCTGCTGTCACTGCTACCGCTACTGCTGCTGCTGCTGTCACTGCTACCGCCGCTACCGCTGCTGCTGCGAGTGTGACGAGCCGCGCGCCGCTGCCGGTTCGTGACGCTCCGTGACGACATCGGCAGCAAGAGGCGGCGTGGTCCGCGGTTCATCCGTGGCCAAAGCTGCTTCGTGCGCGTCACGAGTCACGAGGAGTCACGAGTCACGAGTCACGAGTCGTCACGAGTCGCCGCGATGACCTCGCAACGCCGTGGTCATTGCGCTCGAGACACTGCTCCGCGCGTCGCTTCCCTCCTCCATAACCAAGCCCCCACCCCCCCACCCCCCCACACCCCCCCCACACCCCCCCACACCCCCCCACACCCCCCCACACCCCCCCACACCCACCCCCCCAGACGCCGTGACTCGGTTTAGCAAAAGGCATTACTACTTCTTTGGTTATTTCGGTAAAGTCACGTAGGTAGAAATAAAATCAAACAAATCAGTATGGATTCCTGCAGTCACGAAAGCTTCAAATCAAGATAAAAGTCATCAACATAAATCGGCGTCGAGTTCACCCTCACGCGCCCTCCCCCCCTCTCGTCTCCTTCACCCCCCCCCATCACCTCCTCCTCATGCTCCTCCTCCTCCACGCGTCTCACTCTCTTCCTTCCCATCCCTTCCTCTCCTCTCCCTCCTCCTCCTCCATCACCCATCATCCCAACTCGCTCTCATTCATTCTCCTCTCTCCATCCTCCTCATGTCCCCCTGTTCATGCCTCCTCCCCCCCACCTCCACTCTCGCCTCCATCTCCTCCCCTCCCCTCTCCTCTTTATCTCCTTCTTACCCCCCCCCCCCGTCTCCATCTCCCCCCCTCTATCCCTTAACTCTCCTCTCCTGCTCTGTCCAAGCCCCTGCTAAGCTCACCTCTTCTCCCATCTCCTTCGCAGTCATTAAAGCAATGTTAAGCTCAAACTAAAACCTCACCTTTTTCAACTCGCGTTTGCTCAACATACCTTTACAGTGCCGCTGATTGTTTAACAGGCCTTCGACGGAAATTTATTAGAACGCAATTTTGTTTCGTGTGGACATTCCTTGCATTCGTCTAACGATTTCGCCTTCTGACAATGGTTTTTTTTTAATCTTTTACAATCTGCACGGCACTTTGAATGGCTTCCCTCGGCACGACAGTGCGCTCTATAGAAACAGAGGCGCGCTTGATATTTGTGGTTCATTGATTGATCCTCCTCCCCCCCCCCTCCCGCGCGCCCCCCCCTCCCGTGCCACCGCCTCCGCAGGCGAATGTTCCCGGCTTTCAAGGTGCGCGTGTCGGGCCTGGACAAGAAGGCAAAGTACATCCTGCTGCTGGACATCGTGGCGGCCGACGAGTGCCGCTACAAGTTCCACAACTCCCGCTGGATGGTGGCGGGCAAGGCTGACCCCGAGCTGCCGCGCCGACTCTACATCCACCCGGACTCGCCGGCGACCGGCGACCATTGGATGGGCAAGGCGGTGACCTTCCACAAGCTGAAGCTCACCAACAATCTGTCGGACAAACACGGATACGTGAGTGTCCCCTCGTCCACGTCGAATGGGGGGGCGGAGGGAGGGGGCGGGCGGGGAGGGGGGGAGCGCGCACCGCTTATTGATTCACTCGCGAGCGGTTTTGTAAATGTTGTGTTGTTTTATTTAGTTTTTTTTCGTTTGACCGGCTTGAGAACTCGAGAGATTCGGATGAACTATAAACGCATTTTTTTTTTACCTTTTTAAAATTTATATCTCACGGTAGTTTGTGATGGCTGAAATATAGAATTACAGGGTGGCCCAAAAGTCAGGACACATGGGGTTATTATATTTACGTTAAACTAATATTTATTTATTTTACGAGTACGAGGCCGCACTGAGTTTCGTTGATCTTGTGTTGTCAGAAGCGACCTGGCTATCACGAATGATAGCTCAGAAAAGTGGCTTATCGTCATCATTGTCGTCATCATCACGTGGACATTTATAGCAGCGTCACCTGCCGGGTCAAAGTCCTGTCAGCTGTCTTGATTCCTATTTGCTTCATCGCTGTTTTACATTTTTTTAAATGTATTATTGTTATTATACGTCCTGTCAGCTCTCAGAGATACGAATCCGGTCAGTATGTCCGGTTGCCTGTTCGGACCAAGAGTCGTGTAGAACCAGTGACATCTACATCTGCAGAACGTGTAGAACCAGTGGCATCTACATCTGCAGAACGTGTAGAACCAGTGGTATCTACATCTGCAGAACGTGTAGAACCAGTGGCATCTATATCTGCAGAACGTGTAGAACCAGTGGCATCTACATCTGTAGAACGTGTAGAACCAGTGGCATCTACATCTGCAGAACGTGTAGAACCAGTGGCATCTACATCTGCAGAACGTGTAGAACCAGTGGCATCTACATCTGCAGAACGTGTAGAACCAGTGGCATCTACATCTGCAGAACGTGTAGAACCAGTGGCATCTACATCTGCAGAACGTGTAGAACCAGTGGCATCTATATCTGCAGAACGTGTAGAACCAGTGGCATCTACATCTGTAGAACGTGTAGAACCAGTGGCATCTACATCTGCAGAACGTGTAGAACCAGTGGCATCTACATCTGCAGAACGTGTAGAACCAGTGGCATCTACATCTGCAGAACGTGTAGAACCAGTGGCATCTACATCTGCAGAACGTGTAGAACCAGTGGCATCTACATCTGCAGAACATGTAGAACCAGTGGCATCTACATCTGCAGAACGTGTAGAACCAGTGGCATCTACATCTGCAGAACGTGTAGAACCAGTGGCATCTACATCTGCAGAACGTGTAGAACCAGTGGCATCTACATCTGCAGAACGTGTAGAACCAGTGGCATCTACATCTGCAGAACGTGTTGAACGAGTGGCATCTACATCTGCAGAACGTGTAGAACCAGTGGCATCTACATCTGCAGAACGTGTAGAACCAGTGGCATCTACATCTGCAGAACGTGTAGAACCAGTGGCATCTACATCTGCAGAACGTGTAGAACCAGTGGCATCTACATCTGTAGAACGTGTAGAACCAGTGGCATCTACATCTGCAGAACGTGTAGAACCAGTGGCATCTACATCTGCAGAACGTGTAGAACCAGTGGCATCTACATCTGCAGAACGTGTAGAACAAGTGGCATCTACATCTGTAGAACGTGTAGAACCAGTGGCATCTACGTCTGCAGAAGGTGAAGAACCAGTGGCATCTACATCTGCAGGAGATTATACAACTTTAAAGCCATTCCTCGTGTTTAGTGTACACGTCGTACAACACGTTTGGAATCGACAGGAGTAAAGTTAGACTTACGAACAAGTCGACTTACGTACAGAGCCCTCTGGAACCTAACTCGTTCGTAAGTAGATAATTTCCTGTATAGGCGTTTTTTCTTTTCTTTCCGAAGCGACCTGGATATCACCAATGATAGCTCAACGAAGTGGCTCATCGTGTCGCGTTGGAAGTCATAGCAGCAGCCTAATAACTCTAAACACGCGGTGATGTTGATTCTAAATGTGGGAGGGAATGAAACCAATGGACCCCGGATACAAATCCACGCAACCACAGGGGGAGAGAGACACGCACACTCCAAATATAGAGCAGGCGTCGTCAGTAGTCTGGATCTAACCCACGACCTCCTGCATCCCAGGCGAGGGAGTCATCATCTCCTAGCCACTGCGACGCCGATAAGACGTGGGTCTCAGGGCCGCGACACGGTAGAGGCCATTGTGGGTTTGACAGCACAACGATGCTGTGGTGTTTGCACGTTTGTTTATTGTCGGGGGCAGCACATCACGGGCAGCACAGCACGGCTGGTATGACGGTAGCCAGCACGTGACATGGGGAGGGTTTGTTGACAGGGGCAGCACAACACGGCTGGTATGACGGTAGCCAGCACGTAATTGTCGATCGTTACCATAATCCTACAGTCCGTATCATAATTCTTAACTCTAACCCCCCCCCCTCCCCCATCTTAAATGCAGACCAGAATCCTCAAACGCTATCCCCAAACCGCGTGACCATCATCAACCCCAATTTTGTAATCCTAAACCTTTACCCTACCATCTCGCCAAAAGCTGAAAATCCAACCCCGCACCTCCCCGCAATAACTCTAATCTCCACTCTCACGCTGATGCTTAGCGCTCACCACAGGCCTGACCAAAGCTAATTCCCACCCAGATCCATATAAGCGTACATACATATATACACACAGAGTCCCTGTAATCCTAAACCCTAATGATATCCCTCCCTAACCCTAACGCCTTGCCACAAACACGCCTCGTGCCCTGAACACACGTATCTTCCTTCCCCTCTCATCTACTCCCCCCCCACACATCACCACCCCCCCCCCCCCCCCACATCCATCCACCACCACCACGGTTCCAAATTCACTTTCTAATTCTCAGCGAGCGATTCGCTCTCTACTCTCTCACGCACTCTCTCCTCTCCCCCGCACTCTCTCCCCCGCACTCTCTCCTCTCTCCCCCACTCGCACAGTAGCAGAGGCATCACCGAATAATACGTGCCAGGCTAGGTGCACGAACAAACATTTTCAACGAGAATAGGCTTTGCCCGGGATTGTTCTCATGTTCCAACCCGACATCGCCACACCGCCGATTTGCTGACCACCACAAGTCGAAGTTCACACAGACTAAAGAGGTGACTCTGACCATAACAAGTCGAAGTTCACACAGACTAAAGAGGTGACTCTGACCATCACAAGACGAAGTTCACACAGACTAAAGAGGTGACTCTGACCATAACAAGTCGAAGTTCACACAGACTAAAGAGGTGACTCTGACCATAACAAGTCGAAGTTCACGCAGACTAAAGAGGTGACTCTGACCATCACGAGTCGAAGTTCACGGTGACTAAAGAGGTGACTCTGACCATGACAACACGAAGTTCACACAGACTAAAGAGGTGACTCTGGCCACCACAAGACGAAGTTCACACAGACTAAAGAGGTGACTCTGACGGTGACAAGTCGAAGTTCACACAGACTAAAGAGGTGACTCTGACCATGACAAGACGAAGTTCACACAGACTAAAGAGGTGACTCTGACCATCACAAGACGAAGTTCACACAGACTAAAGAGGTGACTCGGACCATACAAGACGAAGTTCACACAGACTAAAGAGGTGACTCTGACCTTGACAAGTCGAAGTTCACACAGACTAAAGAGGTGACTCTGACCATGACAAGACGAAGTTCACACAGACTAAAGAGGTGACTCTGACCATGACAAGACGAAGTTCACGCAGACTAAAGAGGTGACTCTGACCATGACAAGACGAAGTTCACGCAGACTAAAGAGGTGACTCTGACCATGACAAGACGAAGTTCACACAGACTAAAGAGGTGACTCTGACCATCACAAGACGAAGATCACGGTGACTAAAGAGGTGACTCTGACCATGACAAGACGAAGTTCACACAGACTAAAGAGGTGACTCTGACCATGACAAGACGAAGTTCACACAGACTAAAGAGGTGACTCTGACCACCACAAGACGAAGTTCACGCAGACTAAAGAGGTGACTCTGACCATAACAAGACGAAGTTCACGCAGACTAAAGAGGTGACTCTGACTATGACAAGACGAAGTTCACGCAGACTAAAGAGGTGACTCTGACCTTGACAAGACGAAGTTCACACAGACTAAAGAGGTGACTCTGACCATGACAAGACGAAGTTCACACAGACTAAAGAGGTGACTCTGACCACCACAAGACGAAGTTCACACAGACTAAAGAGGTGACTCTGACCATGACAAGACGAAGTTCACACAGACTAAAGAGGTGACTCTGACCATCACAAGTCGAAGTTCACACAGACTAAAGAGGTGACTCTGACCTTGACAAGACGAAGTTCACGGTGACTAAAGAGGTGACTCTGACCATGACAAGACGAAGTTCACACAGACTAAAGAGGTGACTCTGACCATCACAAGACGAAGTTCACACAGACTAAAGAGGTGACTCTGACCATGACAAGACGAAGTTCACACAGACTAAAGAGGTGACTCTGACCATGACAAGACGAAGTTCACACAGACTAAAGAGGTGACTCTTACCATCACAAGACGAAGTTCACACAGACTAAAGAGGTGACTCTGACCATGACAAGACGAAGTTCACACAGACTAAAGAGGTGACTCTGACCATCACAAGACGAAGTTCACACAGACTAAAGAGGTGACTCTGACCATGACAAGACGAAGTTCACGCAGACTAAAGAGGTGACTCTGACCATGACAAGACGAAGTTCACACAGACTAAAGAGGTGACTCTGACCATGACAAGACGAAGTTCACACAGACTATAGAGGTGACTCTGACCATCACAAGACGAAGTTCACACAGACTAAAGAGGTGACTCTGACCATGACAAGACGAAGTTCACGCAGACTAAAGAGGTGACTCTGACCATGACAAAACGAAGTTCACACAGACTAAAGAGGTGACTCTGACCATCACAAGTCGAAGTTCACACAGACTAAAGAGGTGACTCTGACCTTGACAAGAC